CAAGCGTTGGTTCACCCGCAGAATGGGTGACCCAGGAAATTAGATAGTACGGGGCCCTTACCTTCCAATTGCCCCTTCTTTAGATGAACAGTCCTTCTTCTAGACCCACATTCCTCTGCCAGATCTGCTTCTGTCTTCCACAACTCTCCCCTTCTTTGGTCAGATGTGTACAGTAAGTTTAGGAAAAGAACATATGATGACACCACCTAATGTCATGATCAGGGCTTGAAAAATTTGATGGTGTCTCACCAGTCAGTCAAAAATGTCACCATTCAGCATGACCGGACTATATCCTTGCAATCTATGTTAAAACATTTTGGGGACAGATAGAGTTTTTACTATATACTGAAAAAAGTACCATAAATGTAAAAAAAAAAAGTTTCCCTACGTTATGTTATAAAACATTTATTCTTACCCATATTTTTAGTAAAATATAAAAGATGGGGTCACGTCGGCAAATAGACACCAAACATGTCAAGCCTTAAATTGGGTGCGCCTGCAAAATCGCAAAAAACGCCCATAGGCGACGATTAAAACGCTTTTACTGCTCATCAGTTTAGTGTTATCAGTGATTAATGGCTCTAAAATTATTGCTCTCACTCCGACGTTTGCGGCGATATGTAACATGTGCGGCACAATAGGCGCAATCGTCGTTTTTGCACGTAGGCGCACCCGACGCATATCTGCGTGTGTATGTGGGGGGCGGGGACTTGAGAAATGTTTTCTTTTTTTAATTTTTTTATGCTTCTTTATTTTTTTTATGATTCTTTAATTTTTGTATTACTTTTTTATTTTTTTACACACAACTTTATTGCCATTACATGGGTGGCTAAGAAGCCACCTACGTGATAGCCAATTTACATGACAGGTCCTCTTTATGGAGACATCAGGGGTCTCCAAGACCCCTAATGTCACCTAGGGACCCCCAGAGAAGGTGATGAAGCAGAGATCTGCTTCATCATCTTTTCCCCAGCTGGAGAGTGACACTGAATGCAGGAAGTGATGCAATACACATCACTTCCTGCATTCGGGGACTGAGAGGAGATCAAAGGGAGTTCGTATACTGAACTTCCTTTGATCTCCTGTCACAGAGCCGTGCCAGTCCCGGCCACATCGGGCACAGCGGATCTCGGGACCGGCAACGGCAGTGACAGCTGCTAATACAAGCGATCAAGCGTCTCTAGAGAAGCCCGATCGCTTGAATGTAAAGCTCCCGGCCGGCCGTGTAATTACAACGGCCGGCCGTGAAGCTGCTCGATTTTTCAAGCCCCGGTCATGATACTGTTCTCTGTGTCCATCATGTACATTATTTGGTTGTGTATTTTCTCTTTCCATATTTTAATTTATGTGTCTTGTGAAATGATTTTGTTGTGTATTTGTACACACTTCTATAAAAGAAAAGTAATGATAGGCCCCTGTTCATGTTCCAACCTACTCCTCAAACGGGTTGGAATGTGGTTCCTGTGGGTATATGGAATGATGTTAAAGTTAATTTAGGCAAGGATTAGCCTTTTGTTAAAGAGGACCTGTCAGTAGCATTATGAATCTTCATGAAGAAATTCCTGACATGTCCCAATATACAATAACAGTTTCACTTTTCAAAAAAGCTCAATCTTTTCATTCAATAGCCATCCTTGAGCTCCAGTCTAGTGTTGAGATGTGTCCAGAGGTATGCAGTAGGTCTGACCTATGTCACACATTTATGAACACAGTCCGGAACTGCTCCTGTACAAGAAATCATATGATTGTGTCATCTCTAAGCTGGCATTTCAATCCCGAAAGTGAATGAAGTAGATGGTACTCCTGAAGGATTGTGAAACAAAGATGGCACCATCCTTCTGAAGGGAAAAGCAGATGAAAGTGCTGTGATCCCTGTGAGTGGAAAATACCACATTCGGGCCACTCGATGGCGGTGAGGAGCATATGAAAGAGGTATTTATTTCCTATGATCCTTGTCTCCATCTAGTGGCCATATTGTGGTATTTTCCTGATTTCCTCAAACCCTGTGAATTAATTACAATCGACCTGGAAAATAAAATATACTAATAAGAATTGTGTTTGACCCCATTCACACAGAATGAATGAACATGCAGCTTTGCTGGACGAATAGCTCTGCATTTTTATTTTATTTTTATAAATACACCGCTCTATGTTAGAGGTTTCTTCCTGCATTGTTGAGTTAAGGCAACCCATTCATTGTGAAAGGGCTCCTAATGCACAGTAATAGAGGAAATAGTAAACCTGTCCTTTTTTTTTTTTACATGCAGCATTAACACAGCAACAGAATGGCCATCAGTGACGGAAGGCATTTTTTCAAATGAATACATTAATAGATTAAATGTTGATTTTTTTATTTGCCAGGTATTTAGTTATACGTAGGGTGGGGTAACCTCCAGCTAAGCTGGCGTCGTCCTATTTATGTATGAATATGTCCATGTAGGACCTTGACATGTCACTGTGGCTTCCCATACATGCAAATCAAAGCAGACGAGGCCTCTGTTTTTTTATACAATGTTAGAATCAGGCTGAAGTAATTGACGACAGCAATTTAGAAGCAAGCACTGCCGTTTGCCTTTATTTTAACCCCAAATAACGCTAATGCACACAAATCAAACCAACCAATACCTTTGGGCACAGAAAATAAGAAATATAATATATTTTGCCTATCTTTTGTTTTGACAAAGAGAAGACTGAACGGGATCAAATCTAGTTATTCAGAAAGCTGTCAGCTTGGGTGAAGGATAGATTAGATATGTAGATATTTGTAACACTATACGGGTTCCCTGGATGAGACTTGAACTGATCAATATGCAGAAGTCTAATACACTTTAATATCTCTGCATTATTGGAGGTTTATTTCTCAGCCTTGTTGGGTATTACGCTCTTCTTCTGTCTCCTAATCCATACTTCCTTATGGCATGATGACCTATCAGAAACCAGGGCGTAGATCCGCCAAATGCAACCAATCAGGTTACGACTTCCATTTTATAGAACTATTAAACAAGTCTGATTAGTTGAGTAAAAATTCTAATTTTGTGCTGTTTTTCCTTCTCATTTTCATCTAGTGGCAGTAATATAAAAAAAAAACGACTGAACGAACATTGGCTTGACTTGCCAAACCGTTATGCCCACCTTTACCGATCTTCCCTTCCATTACTGATGTGACAACTGTATCCACTCCAAAGGCACCATCCCGCTTTAATTTGGCCATGAGGGACCGCAGTCTAGACTAAATTACTCCCTAATAAATACACCTAAACATTTGTATGTCAACATAAAAGAGGACGGTGCTGCAATTCTTTAATAAGAGAGTCTGTGGTGTTAAATTAATGAAGTGGGATAGCTGCTGGTGGAACTAAGTAATAGGGAGTAGCCTGCTAGCTTAACCCTATCACCGCTAACGCATTACCTCATTTGTTAGTTGCCTATTGGAAAAAAAAAAACGATCTTTGTTTTTTTTTTCCTGCTTGGAGGACTAGGGCTTTTAATGAGTCACATAGTCATCCTCTTCCCCGCTCTACCTCTTGTCACTCTCTCTCTCTCTCTCTCTCTCTTTCTGCAATGTCTTCTTAGTTCTTGGCAGCTGAGCTTGTGACTTGAGACATTAATTACTAGCACAGTGTGTTGTTTATCCTCCTTATTAACACACCTGTGCTGTTGGTTCTGTGTACGCGTTGCTGTCTCACTTCACGTGCGCTTTTTTGTGTACGCTCCTTCGCTGGAAATGGAGGGATTACTGATTAACCCCTTGAGAGCGGCTTGCACCGTTGCCGCACATTGATTTCCGATAGGGAACGCTGGGATTCAGAGGCTGGAGAGTCAAGGGTCTGTCTGCATTTGAGACGACGCGCTTTATAATGCAGCAGAAAATAAACATATATATATATATATATATATAATCAGTTTTCTGATGTAGAAAGCGGAATCAGATTTCTGTATCTCTGTACAATTTTTATGTCTGTTCTGATGGATCTTTGCAAGATTAAAGCTCAGCGGTAATTACACCTTGTGATTTTGTCTAATTAGTGCATTATTTTCCCTATTTTAGTTTTCCTTAAATGTCTGTGCGCCTCCTTTTGGCCCTCAATGATAAATAAACAAGTGAGCCTAATTACCTTATCTCTTACTACCTTAGGTAGGTCATTTATGATACCCACACACTGCCTGCCTGCATTGCAGGTCGATGAGATGTATGACACAATAGCAGACATTGACAGTGGGTGTGCATTCAAAGTATAATTCTGTTTGAAGACTCGTTTTGCATGGGTTGGTTTGCCCATGTGCTTATTTTAACTCCCAGTGGCAAGATTTCCATACCGTAGTTTCCATCTCAGCCTTCACTAAGGCTATTAAGAGGATGCTACATTGGATGGGTTTTCCATGTCTTCATTCAATACTGTATAGTGATTTTACCATCGGTTTTTGTTGTCTACCCAAAACCTTTTCTTCAGATCTAGGTGGCCTTGTCAACAAAATTGACCCTCCATCCGAATCTAGCTCCACCCTTGTAATGCTTCGTTGTGAGCAATTGTGTCACCTGACTTGCTAACTTTTTCAAAAATATTCCTGTGCAGTAAGTATGGACCAAGTGACGCCACTTCTTGTCCTCAAGCAGAGATATCTGCTGCAGTGGGCAGCAGAATTGTGGCACTTGGGAAGAAGATCTACCATCAAGGATCTCCAGGGTTTAGGAAACTGTTATTTCTTAAAAGGGTTCTTAATAAAGCTCCAGAGATTTTAAGAAATAGTTATTTTACAGGACCCTGTCCATCCAAACCTTAGCAATCTGCTTTGAGCAGATGTACCATTTACAATTGAGGAAATGGCAATTGCTACTGGTGTTGGGCTGTTCCCACTATGATGAAGTTCCCGATTAAAAATAGCTTGAATAAACCTTTTTGAAAGTGTTCCATTTCTCTTTGTTCTACACTCTACATCACATTTTGTACCTCTTGCGTAGACTTCCATGATAGGCTCACTCTCTATGCTTCTCTTCCCAGGTTCGTGCCAGTGCCATTGCCCAGGATGCAGACCAGAATTATGACTACGCCAGTAACAGTGTGATCCTCCACCTGGATGCAGGAGACGAAGTATACATTAAGTTGGACGGTGGTAAAGCTCATGGGGGCAATAACAACAAGTACAGTACCTTCTCTGGGTTCATCATTTACTCAGACTGAGAAGCCCCCTGTGTGGACAGTGCCCAGGCTCACCTACACTGCCAGGGAGCAAGAAGCCCACGAGAGAAGCATGGGCTGGCTACCTAGAACACTCATGTTCCCTACACCGCACCTTGTGTGCCTGGGGTTGTGTATCTGCCTCCCCTACTCTGAGTCTTCATCTCTCTTGTGTCCTTGGCTCACTCCTGCACCTTCTCCTATGCTTTACTGTGTCTACACTCAATAAGAACTTGCTACTGCAATTTTGTCCTAACTGCCCTCCCTTATATAAGCACTATTATAGCCCATTACTAAAACTCATGTCACCTTACAGAACTTGAACCTATACCTTTTCTACTAATGTTTGCAGTGATCTGCTTTCCCATAGTATGTCCTTCAATAGCTTACAGTTGAGACACCTATTACCTAATTTAGACATGACATCTATGTCCTGATATTGCTAAGAATTGAGTAAAATTGGCCAGTTCCAAGCAACATTATCTTCATCTAGGTGGACCTCTAAACAGAATGCATGTATCTATTTTTCTAGCATCATAGTCTAGCCCCCTTCCAAGCCTCTTGTGTATGTTCTACCAAATCATTGGCCAACTTCTGCTCATGCATGAATTTCTCTTGCTATTTGTGTTCTACTGTCATGCCAGCATTTTTCCACCTGGCTTCAGCCATGCCTAAGTATCTCTTTGTCAACACTTGACCATATCTAATAATCCTAATTATTCACCAAGGCTCATGCATGGATTACCTCTACAAAGACTGATGCTTGCATGCCTCTGCTACACCTCATCTTAATACACCTCCACCAAACTCCTGTATGAATATCATTGCCAGGCCTGCTCCATGTCTTTAAATAAACATTTCATCCTTCTACATATCTGCCATGACCTATGCATGAATACCTCAATGAATTGCCAACTGTCATGCATGTATTCTTTTGCCTCATATTTTCATGCTTCCCAACATGACATCTCTTTGTCAAGCCTCATGGAACTTATCTGGTCAGCATCAATACATGTGTAGGAACTCTAAACATGATTGCTTTGCCCTTTTTTTACATCCATTTGATGTATTATGTCATAGTGTCTGCATCCTAGCAAAGCCATTTTTACCTGTAAACCCTTAGAAATGTACCGTTCCACCTGAGGAACCACATCCCAGCTCAGCTGGTATCCCTGATCCCTGAATCTCTTCTACAAATCCAAATTTCTGTAATCTTCCAAGCCTCTCTTGTATCGTTCGGAAATATCATCTTGCCTGTAGGTTTCCACTACACGTCAGTATTATTTGATTGGAAGACGCATCAGCTTATATTTATAAACTTCATCATTCCAAATGAGTCTTGATACTTTGCTCCTATTCACCTTGATAGTAAAATGGATTCCCTATATTGTACTAGTTTGTGTTTTCAAAACATTTTACTTATTGGGCCCAATAACAGAACCCCAATTGCAATCTTTACATCCAACACAGTATAAACCCATCTCTATTCCACTATGGCTACCTTTCCTGTAATTGTTTATTGTACCTACAATATACTTACAATCTCCTACTTGATGTCCCCATTCTACCTCATTATCTGTATTTCTAGAGCTCCCAAATAAATCTTGTAATTATTATATATATTCTACGAGAGAGAGAGAGAGTCATAAATAGCCGTTCACTCTAGAACATGTACATCACGAATTGGACAATCGTTCCAGCAACTAAAGAGCTCTGTTATCAACACACGGTCTATCAAATTATGACTTTTCTATCGTTTGATGGCAAAATCAATCAGATTTAGCAGCAGCTTTCTAAAGGCGTACCTATAAACTTGTTAATTAAAAAAGTAACACTTTAATGCTGAAACAATATGTTTCCCTGTACTTTTCCATCCACGTCCATCTGTGAAGTTTCACAGCTGTTTATTTCTCTGTACTTAGAGTTGCAACCCCGCCGAGCCTTGTGATAACCTAAAACTAGACTATAGTAGACACAAGTAAGCTTTAAGAAGGCCAGTGACTGCAAACTTTTGTGAATGGCTAATGGTCTTGCTGGGCCCAGATGAGAAGGGCATGAAGGCCAATGTCTGCCTAAGGTGGCAGACCTTTAGTAAGGGTGATTAATAAGGAGATAGGAGGTGCTTCTCCTACCAGCCAAGTTTTTGTTAGTTGTTATTTTCTAACCTGCACCAGAAACATTGAAGACTGAATCTGGCTGGTTACTTAGGAGAACAACCTTGATTTTCTTTCCTTTTAGATGTAATATGTAATTGTTACTGTCTTAGATATGTAAGCATAAAAGGTAAAACAAGAATCAGTCCACTCAAAAGTAATATTTAAGGTATAAATGGAACCTGATGGGCTGAGCTAAGGTTTTACACATCTTGGATACTCAAAAAGGGAGATCTCTATGATTCATGTCATGTCTGACTTCCTCTCCACCTAGGGGTTTTGGGTGTTCCCACCCACCTTTATTTGACTCAGCTCCTCTTGCTATAGAACCCATATAACAGCCAAAAAAAGGTGTGCAGACCCGGGAAATCAAGCATGAATACCTCACCAATAGTGTCCTTGGGATATATAAGAAATTGTCAGCATCTGCTAAAAACTGAAATTTAATTTTTAGGCGATCTGACCCTTTATCTAGAATATACAATGAAGTGGAGTCCTGCTCCTTTACCACTATACCCCCTACAAAGTGTCAGAATGGCCATTGTACCTAATGGAGGCTATTACAGTAGGCCAGTATCTCATGTGACTTGGCGAGTCAAATCTAAAAATCGGAAAAAATACTTTGTACTGCTTCTTACTATTTTGTAGTAAGGCACAAATACATCCAAAACTGTAAATTATACTGTATTTACTGGGGTTGATGTACTCAAATGTAGTGGAGTGACCTTCACTGACATCCAGTCACGTGCAAAAGAAGTGCTTATTTTCATAATTTCCCTGTACAAGGTTGGATGAATGTTTAAAGTCAAATGTAAAATGTCTGATTACATAATGTTTGTTATTGTTTTTTGGTCTTTTTTTAATTCCTGTTATGGACGTCTCCAATCTTCTGAAGACCTTTCTTTATTTCTGTGTGTTGCTGCTCCCAAGTATCCCATTCCTCAGCATAACTTTTCATAATCTCCAAGGAGTGGCGGCTTATTATTGGTGTGACTTTAACCAGATAAGGGAACAGATAATTTTTGGAAGGTTGGGTGGTATAGATATAATGGTGGAAATTGGACAATTGCTGCTCATGTTTTGAAAGCCAGGCTGCTCTAATAATTTTATATGTATAGGCAATGCACTACAGCTGCTTAAAGCTGAACTCCAGGCAAGAAGCTAAAAGACGCAGGTACAATACAATATAAATGTCTGTGATCCAGACAGCACAGGCAGGTTGGTGACCTCCATTGCAGCAGTAGCACAGTTTGGTAAAGAACACTCCCTCCAGATAGCTAATTGGACAATGAAAGATCAGCAGCACAATAAAGAGTCACCCCTCTGCTTTCTCCTCTCTCCTGTTCCATGGTCAGCACATGCAGCAGAACCTAAATGGTTGCTGGGACTGACCTTCCCTCTTCCAGTCTACTGTGAAGAGGACCACAGAAGGCTGTCATATTAATGTCAAATTCAGGTATTTATAATGTTTATATATTTATGTATATTTTTATTTATATCTGTCCAAAGTAATGTTTTATATCTGTCTGGAGTCCATCTTTAGGTGGTGAGTGTGGCTCAAATAGATCAACAATTTGGAAGTCTTAGTTTACAGGTCTTCGGGAGGATAAAGTGGAACCATCATGGCTTTTACTATATTTTTCCATGATCCCCTCTTATTTTAAGAATGGAGCCAGTGCTGTGTAGTCACATGATGGTCCTGCAGGATGATATCGCTGCTAAACCAACATGGCTGGTAATGCTCTTCTATTTGCTCTGAACAATTGACAAGTACACTACTGTGAGACACTTCTTGCCAGTCTTAGGCCTAAAATAACTAACCTTCTATTGCCTTTGTGCATACCTCCTATGTTATGAAGTGAAAGAGGACACCTTAAAACTCCAAAGTGTTTAGGAAGAGAATGCGCCCCTGACACAACCACATCTAAAGCAAGAGGTAGGAGCTAGACCAGGGGTCCCCAAACGCCTTAAACAAAAAGCCAGTTACATGTTCTTCAGACTTTAGTGGGGCCAGATTGTGGCCAGTGGGAGTAGCAAATGCCTCAGGCTTGGTGGCCAGTGGGAGTAGCAAATGCCTCAGGCTTGGTGGCCATTGGAAGTAAAAATGCCTCAGGTTTGGTGGCCAGTGGAAGTAAAAATGCCTCAGCCTTGGTGGCCAGTGGAAGTAAAAATGCCTCAGGCTTGGTGGCCAGTGGAAATAAAAATGCCTCAGGCTTGGTGGCCAGTGGAAGTAAAAATGCCTCAGGCTTGGTGGACAGTGGGAGTAAAAATGCACCAGACTTGGTGGACAGTGGGAGTAAAAATGACTCAGGCTTGGTGGACAGTGGGAGTAAAAATGCACCAGACTTGGTGGACAGTGGGAGTAAAAATGCCTCAGGCTTGGTGGACAGTGGGAGTAAAAATGCCTCAGGTTTAGTGGACAGTGGGAGTAAAAAATGCCTCAGTTTGGTGCTCAGTATGAGTAAAGGAATTACTTAGCTCATGTGGTCATCGGGAGGAGAAATAGTGCCCTGTTTTTATGTCAGTGGAACCCCATCATAGTTATCAACCCCCTCATAGTTATCAATTGGACAAATAGTGTCCCATAGTTGGTATCAGTGGGAAAAATAATGTCCCATTGTAGGGCAAATTGTGCGGGGGGAGGACTTATGCCCCATAGTTCATATCCATGGGAGGAATAGTGACCCATAGTTAGTATCAGTGGGAAGAATAGTGCCCCATAGTTAGTATCAATGGGAGGAATAGTGCCCCATAGTTAGTATCAGTGTGAGGAATAGTGCCCCATCAATGGGAGGAATAGTGCCCCATGGTTAGTATCAATGGGAGGAATAGTGCCCCATAGTTAGTATCAGTGGGAGGAATAGTGCCCCATCAATGGGAGGAATAGTGCCCCATAGTTAGTATCAATGGGAGGAATAGTGCCCCATAGTTAGTATCAGTGGGAGAAATAGTGCCCCATCAATGGGAGGAATAGTGCCCCATGGTTAGTATCAATGGGAGGAATAGTGCCCCATAGTTAGTATCAGTGTGAGGAATAGTGCCCCATCAATGGGAGGAATAGTGCCCCATGGTTAGTATCAATGGGAGGAATAGTGCCCCATAGTTAGTATCAGTGTGAGGAATAGTGCCCCATCAATGGGAGGAATAGTGCCCCATAGTTAGTATCAATGGGAGGAATAGTGCCTCATAGTTAGTATCATTGTGAGGAATAGTGCCCCATGGTTAGTATCAATGGGAGGAATAGTGCCC